AAATATTTGAATTATTCCTAAAATATATTGTTTTTTTTTTTTTTGGCATTACCATTTTAACCTTTTTCAATTTTTTCCGATATTCCTGATGCACTCTTTCAAAAAACTCGGAAACAAAATCCGAATGATTGATACAAAAAATATATAGCACAAGTTATGTGTTAAAATACATGGATTCAAAATATCTAAAATGGCGATATCTCAAAAAACGGCGAAACTTTGCATAAGGGTAAATATGGTCAAACAGCTTCCAAATCACCCCAACTATCACTTATTGAAATCTTCTATAGATGTACCAAAAACCCTGTATAATTGGTTTGCTGTTCGATTTAAATTTCTTATTTTTTTTAAGTCGTTGGTTTAATTTTTTTTGTTGTATGGTATGAATTTGCCGCCCCTGGATCGGGCCGCCCTGGGCGGCCGCCCATCTCGCCCCCCCTTAAGCCGGCACTGAGTTAAAATATTGATTAAAGCCGAGGAAAATCATTAGTCGTCAACAAGAACTACTCACAAGTGAAAATAGAATTTAAATAATAAAGATTAGGAAATTTACAGGATATGCAACTCCTGTAGTTAATGTTGAATTTTTATAAAGGAAAAATGTAAACAAAGCCTAATAAAAACAGGAAAAAATTAGAAATATCAATTCACAATCCGATGTCCAAAAGTAAAGGTAAAATTTATCACCTTTCAGTGCTATTTGATAGAAAGAGGTGATAAATTTACCTTTACCTTTGGACTACGCATCGTGAATAGGATATATATAGGAATTTTAAATTGAAAACTAAAAATAAGTGTGAAATAGTTAAAGGCAATTTTGGCACGTTACAGAATAACGAGAGTGGATGATAAACCGAATAGCTTAATCAAAGAAGAATTTTGATAGACACATAGCAAGTCAAGACAGATAGAAATTCTGCGACAATTTCCAAAGTGCAAAATCAGGTCATTAATAGAGACACTTTGGTCAACAGCATTTGCGCCTCTATTACTTTTAAATTTAACAACTGCTATAGGTATAACAGTAACGGAGTTCAAGGTATTATTGAAGAAGGAGTAATATGAAATACCTACTTTAAATAATTCAAACAAGCGAATATTTTGCTGTGCTGTGATGCTTGGATTGGGATAGGTTCTAGTGCTAAATCTTATCGGAACTATCAGAAGTAGCTTTATGTTTACTACCTACTTGATATCAGGATAAGGTAAGACATTAATAATACCTAATTAGAGATTATAATCTGAGGTGGCAACTCTATAAGGTAATAGTCAGAGTTGCCTACTGTTTTAAGCTTTAACTGATAAATCTTCGTACAAATAGCAAACTATAGATGATAAACAATGAACACCTATCTCCAAGTTGAAACCTATGTATAATCCAATCCGCGAAAAATACAGTTTTTCAATTACTCAGAAGATATTGCTGTCCAGAAGATACATTTATTATAAGGCTGTATTAAACTGTATCAAAAACTAAAAAAAAGACAAAAAATTATAATTCTAAAACATGGAAAAATTTACCGACCATTGTACTACAGCCACTTATTTATATCATTTTACGTACTGTTCCAAGCCGTCCAAACTAACTTTCTCTCCAAAAAAGGGTTGATTTATGATCCGACGAGACAAAAATTCCACAGCTAGGGAGTAGAGATTCAAAAGAAATTGTTTGTACGGCAGAAAATTCCATGCGTCGTGCGCCATTAACCAAAGGCACAAAGAACCGGTGTTATATGTTACAGTGAGGCTTTTGTAGTAAGAGAGGATAGGACCAGCACCTTGCTGACGATACATCATTCTTTTGAGGGACACAAAGGCCTCTTAACGGTTTGGATTAATGTCCTGCGTTCACGCATAATTCTCGGTGTTTTAGACCTAATTTCTCCACCCAGCCAATGACAATCAATGACTGACCGTTTTTCTTTTTATATGAATAATACATCCATTCCGAAAACCTTTTAATACCTCACTTAATGGACACCTTCACACCTGGCCTGGTTTCTTTCTTAATTTATTTTCCCTCACATATTAATGACTGGGCCGTGGCTAACTGCGCCGTGACGTTGCATTTTAATATATCTTTTATGACCAGCGTGTGCGCCAATTCTCACACTCAATTTGGCACAGGATTCAAATTTGTAAGTTTTTTCGGGAGGATGAGGGTGCAAGAGGACATCAATTTTGATGGTAAAACGAGCCGGAAGGACAGGGACAGGGTTAAATTCGCCTTGTCATCTTGTGAAATTACTTTAAAACTGGGGATCATGATAATAGGATCTTTTGATAGTGTCTCCCTTCTCTGGGGGGATTCTGGACGTTTGCCGTCTTTTATTTATTCATGGTGACATTTAAATAGATCGCCGTGAGTTTGCTGGATATTAAATCTTAAATCATGATAGCATGGATTTGCAGGAACTTTGATTTATTTTATAAGGTTCTGTTATGGCAGTGGAAAAAACATTTTTAACATTGAAATTTTGCATCTTGAACCTCTTTTTTTCATACTCCTAAATCTGAGTTGGTGGAATTATCAGAGTTTTTTTTTAAATTTCTGATGATGGGCATTTGATTGCCACTTAGCACAATCTTGCCAACGCTATCGCAATGTTACGTCATCATTAGTGATGTCATAAAAAATAATCCCATATCTTATTTAGACTCATCTTTGTTCATAATGTTCATCGATGTCAAATTACATTTCACCAATAAGTCACCAATTTAGATTACCTTCATATGCGAAGTTTCCTAGACCAAATACAAGAAAATAAAGCTGTTTTTTCTCATAGTCGTTCTAGCGAATGAAATGAGAGTTTGTAAGAATAAAGTCTCTTTTCATATTTGAGTTATAAAAATTATAATGAAACCTCCAATATTTACAGAATGTCCATAGCACGATCTTGTTCCTACCGAAGTTTCTACTGATGAGAATGTTTTTGCTGGGAACAACGCTGCCAGTGAACTCTGTTTTTGACATCCTGGACGATTAGATCAACTCTATTCTCACCATTATCAGAAAAATATACGAATGCTGGATTGCTTTGGAAATTTTGATCCTATGAAGGTACGTCTCTTTTACCTATGAATTTTTTTCTTCTCAAGGCCTTTAGTCTCTTCATATGTTCCATAAGTTTTCTGACGTTCTCTGTATTCTCATTTCTCTCATTCTTTTGGATATTTTTTTTGTGGATTTTTCTGTATTCTTGGGTAGGTAGTCTTTTCTTTGAGTTCCCTTGTCTGTTTCATCAAAAATTCAGTTGCCTAATTGAATGTTTGCTCTTTACCCTGTTTCTGTATATGGATTTAATTGTCATGTCGACCTTGCAAATTAGAGAGTCGGTTATTTGTTCCTCATAGTCTTTTAGGTTTTTTGATGTGAGTATTCCATCCTATATGAGTTATTCTTATAATTATACTGCTTCGTTATTTCCTTATTTTCATTTCAACTTTTGCTCGCACCATTTGATGGATAGATCTCAAGCGGTCATATTATTTCTCAGATTAAGAGATTTTTTGTGGATCCTGCACAAATTAGTAAATTGCTTGATGATGAATTAGTGCGGCTTAGATCAAATTGATTGAAAGTTGAGAAAACGCAAGCTTTCCTGCACCGAGGATAGCAAAAATTGGATATATTAATAATTTGCTTGAAAGTGTATCCAAGGATATATACCAAAAATAGGACGACTTGCGCATTAAGCGACAATAATATTTTGTAGATATTTATGATGAAGCTACTCTCACTCGTTGAAGGATAGACTTCTACCACTGGGAAGTGGCTTCTGTTATGTATTTGAATATAACGAGACGATTTTAATTAACTCATTTAATGAGAACGCAAAATATAAATCAATGATTACAACGTGTTTGCCCGAGACCCGTGGAAGACAGACTATCACTGTCATTCCTTGACATCCCTTATCACTAAAGCTACACTCACAACAGCTTCAGATTCTGTGATTTAATCATATTTCCAAATATAATTGTGTTTAAATTGCTCAAATTCAAAGTCATATCAGAATATTCCAATGCTGATCCTGAACTGAAAGTGAGGTTATGTCGTTTAATGATTAGACCTCTGAACTATAATAACGTTGATTGAATAGTGTTTGAGTTAGTTTGGGTTAGTTAGGCTAAAAATTAAAAAAAATATTTAGCAGGAAAAAAAAAATTAGAACCACACCTAAACGCCTTAACTACCGATGAAAAAACCGGTCCTACTGAGTTCGAAAATTAGATTTCTTATTGTGGCAGACCCACCTATTAATCAATTCGAGTTACACAAATAATTTGATATCCGGTACTCAAAGACACGATTTTAATGAAACAAGAATACCAGAATGGTCCTACCGGCCAGGTACTTTTTGTCGTTAACGACACGAACCCAAACAACTTTTTGGAAAAGACAATTTATGCAACAGGATCATTTTTTACGGAATTAACACCCAATTTATAGGCGTCCTTATTATAACTTAGGCCATAATAAGTAAGTTGTCAGGAGCACGCTGCGGCATTACCATTTCATATTTATTCAAATCCTATGCCTGGCTGTGGCTGCATAATAACAAATTATTTATTGTCCCCCCTCGTATATTATTAATTAATTTGTAACGTTTTCGATAAATAAAAACGAATAGTTTATGGCCGTTTGTGACGTTGGGGAATTTCGGAGAGTTCATTAAATTAACACCCAATTATTGGAATGTAGACCTTTTTAGGGTAACTAAATTATAAATAAAAAAATTATAATGTTTTTTTTTTTAACTCGACTGCTAACAAAAGATAGAAGAATGCACAGATGTTAGATGTAGTTATCGTTTATCCGGAACTATGTTAAGGTGCTCAACAATTATTTCTAACAGCTTCAGTACTATGATCCAAAACTATCAAAGTTTAACAAAAAAAAAATCATCAAATTATCTGTGGATAAATAGCATAATGCCCTTCTCAACAAACTTAACCATAAGGTTTCTTGGTCGAATTTTGTTTTTTGCATTACCTACCTGTCCAGAAGACGTCAATCCAGCTGACATAGCCGCAGCTGATTGCTGCGCAGCGGCAGCTGCAGCAGCCATAGAAGCTGCACTCAATGATCCATAGGCAGCAGAGGGATTATAATACGAAGCCATTGACTGTCCCATACTGGAAGCTGCCATTCCTAGAAAAAAAAAAGAAAAAAAGGTTAATATTTGGAATTTTTGTCGATAAATACTTAAAGATAATAATAATAAATGGCTCATCAATGGCCCATCAATTCACAAGCTACAGACGCAGAACAGTTGAAAAATGTCTAGGAATCACAAATAGCGGAGTTGAAGCACAGCTTTCTTGTCTCAACCAGAATTTAGTAAGTACAATATAGTACAAGCATGACTTAATACGGAGTAAGCTTTGGTATTACCGTTGCGATTCTATATACTTGTATTGTATTGTATTACTTGCAACCATAAGTCAATCACAAGTCATTAGACTTGCACGGGTGCTAGTACAAAAATATAAACATTATGAAAAGGTAAAAAATATGAAGTATAGGGGAAATGGATAAAGTTAAACACATTTATACAGGCCATAAAGACAATGGGGCTGATGGTACGAGCTTAGACAAGAACATTAATATTTTGCTTGACAAATTGCTTAAACTTGTAATCAGCAAGCATATTTATTGTACATTTCTGATATTGGTTGCTAAATGACCCCTAATACATTGATGTAGCATGCATGGGAGGAGTTATTGTAAATTTATGTCTAAGCTCCAAGTTATAGACATCATACCGAAACTTAATTTTATCATACTGATAGTCAGGACATCTTTTACAAATCAATTTGTTGAATAGAACCAAACTATGCAGTGCGCGTCTTTCATTCATTCTTAGCCATTTAATTTCGCATAACTTGGCACTCACACACCTCTGACGGCCCCTAATACCACCTATCAACCTGACACACGAATTCTGCATGAGCTGATTCTTCTGGTATCGGAAACCAGCAGACAGGGCTCGTACAGTACATCCCAGAAGTTGAAAGCGATAAGACAATGGAATCACACAGCACTTTCTTAAGATTCAAATTAGCTAGGGCTCGTTGGTTAAACATTAGTTTGAGAATCTTTGATCAGTAATCATCAGTCTCAGATTGTTTGCTGCACAACATGCCTCTAAAAACCTGCTTACCAAGACTGAACTTTAAAATATTCCGTTTGTGGCTCCGATTCCGGGTCCAGCCAAGCACAACTTGCGTCTTAGCTAGATTTATTTCTAGACAGTGTGCTTCTGAGACCTTCTCCAGCGCATTCAGATCATGCGTCAGTCTGCCGTTGGCTATCATTATTTGAACACAGGCCTCTCATCCATTTTGTGCCGCCAATTTTCGACTACGGGTTTCAGATCATCCGATTATTTTTTGAGGTTCCACCACTATTTCGCTGGGTTTTCTGAGACTAGGTCATTATCAAGCATTCTTTTTTGACTGCCTTACATCCTAGCGATATGGCCTGCTCGACCTCCAATTCTGCTTCAGCTTTCTGTCAACTGCATCTGTCTGTTCTGTTTCTGATGGCAGTATAGCAAATTTTGTCTGTTAGTGTTACACCTACCATAGATCTCTCGAATTTGTGGATGTATCTCGTTCCTTTTAAAGACAATGGAGAAGGCAGTAGATAGCTATATCAGATTCACTACATTGGAAAGGCGGCCGCTGAACGCGAGTCAGCACGCTTACAGAGCAGGTAGATCCACTGAGACAGCTCTGTTCCAACTGACGAGTAGGATACAAGAATCTCTGGAAGGGAAAGAAGTCGCACTGTGCGCTTTCCTAGACATCACTGGCGCCTTCGACAACACATCCCATGTGGCCATTCGGAAAGCTCTAGCGAGAAGGGAAGTCAACGACACAGTATCCCGATAGATATGTAGGATGCTTGCCACAAGGACAGCAGAGACTTCAGTAGGCACCGGGTATATTGAGGTGAGCACCACTAGAGGCACTCCCCAGGGCGGAATATGCTCACCCCTGATGTGGAGCTTGGTGGTGGACGAACTGCTAGAAATACTGAACAACCTGGGCCTAGACTGCGTTGGGTATGCCGATGACATCGTCATCATGGCAAGAGGAAAGTTCGAGGGCATCCTGTGTGAACTCATACAGACCGGACTTAAAGCAACGGAGGACTGGAGATAAACCCATCGAAAACCACTGTAGTGCCTTTCACTAGGAAGAGAGAACTTTCTAGAATGAAGCACATCCGGATACACGGAACTATCATTATACCGGCATCGGAAGTAAGATATCTCGGCGTAAAGCTGGACCGCAAACTCAGATGGAACAAACACATCGAAGGAGCTGTAACCAAGGCTACGAGGGCTCTCATGGTGTGCCAAAGCCTCGCGGGCAAAACCTGGGGATGCAAACCAGGGATCTTGGGATGGATGTACACCATGATAGTAAGACCAACCCTACTATACGGCGGTAGTCTGGTTCAATGCAGTTGAGAAGCAGAACACAAAAGCAGCACTCAACAAACTACAGCGCCGGGCCTGCACATGCATTACAGGCGCAATGAGAACTTGTCCCACAGCAGCCATCGAGAAAATTATAGGTCTCGGACCTCTTCACATTGTGGTGGAAAGGGCTGCCAGACGAGCAATAACCAGAATCACGAGGGAAGGAGCTGCCGAGAAAGGTTGGCTAGGATGGAGAGAATTAGCATCTCTGACCAAGCTTATTCCGCTTTCGAGGTCCCCAGGGACGATATGGCTAAAACACAGCACCTGCACAAACACTTCACAGTAATGATAAGAAGCAGAGAAGAATGGAAAGAAAATACCACATCCATTCTTAAAACTCAGCAGAAAGCCATAAAATGGTACACCGATGGGTCAAGAACCGAACAAGGGACCGGAGCTGGAGTATTTGGGCCTGGAACCAAGTTCTTTGAAGCAATGGGAAAATACCCGGACATATTTCAGGAGGAAATAAACGCTATAAGTAGATGTGCTGAGTTCAATCTTGACAGAAACTACAGAAAGAGAGAGATTGTCATATTCTTCGACAGTCAAGCAGCCATTAAAGCGCTGATCTCACCAATAATCAGCTCCAGAATGGTTTGGGATTGCCAGGACAAGTTAAACAGACTAGGCAAGGATAACAAACTATCCCTCTAGTGGATACCGGGACACGAAGGGATTGAAGGCAACGAGAAGGCGGACCAACTAGCGAAATTAGGGGCACAGACCCCAATTTCAGGACCGGAACCCTTCTGCGGCATACGGAAACACACCTATGAAGAAGCCTTCAGAAAGGAAGAGCGGACCAATGTTTCTTGGGCACCCTGACCAAGGGAGACCGAAAGGCCTCACATCACTAACCAAAATCAATCTCCGCATTCTCACCGGATTCCTCACAGGCCACTACCAGTTAAGAGGGCACCTTGAGAGAATTAAAATTGAAAACGAGAACAGCTGCCGGTTCTGTGAGAAAGGGGAGGCAACTCCTGAACATCTTCTAACGGAATGCGAGGCGATCGTGAATACACGAATGGCCTGCTTTGGGTGCTACATCCTGGGACGGGAAGAAATTCCATCCATAGAACCATCCAGAGTACTTGCTTTCATAAAAGCATTAAGGCTGGGATGAGGTGCTTCAAGCGGGAGTTCATCAACTGGAGCGCCAAGAAGGGGGACACAATAGATCTATGCAGGTCGCAGTGTAGCAGAACCCCGAACTAATTCATTCATTCATTCATCTCTAGTTAATGTATCTATATGTCTTCACATGCTAATCAAATAATATTTTTCTTGTCTGACAGATGTGAATTAGTTGAACAACTTCAATGAGGTAATAGTGAATTAACTGGAACCATTGAGGGCATTTAGGAAATGCTTCATGGCATGGACATGAATATCTCAGCCTACAGAGGTGACAAACTGGTACCAAGTACCAGACCATTATTTTGCTAAAAAAATCTATTGTTGAGCTGCGAAAAAAAATCCGTAAAATCATATCTACTTTATTATCTATGTGCATACTGTCAATAGCAGTTTGAGATGGCAAGAGATTTTACCCAAGGAAATACATGCCTTAGTAGGAAAACAGGGAAATCAATAGAGAAAACAAGGATTGAAGATACCCAACTTATGCAAAAATTTCTGAAGTCAATGAGATATGAATATGTTTGGTTTAGCTATAAAGTAAATAACAAGAGGAACGATAATATGAGATTATAGGACGGATAGGTATCTTAGACTTATGGTAAACCATAAAGTCTTGGCATGCTAGGTTTTGATGGTGGGAGGAGACAATTGAAACGAAAATCTCTTCCAGTTGAAAAATAAGAGGAGTTTCATCGTTTCATGGGATTTTTGTAAAATATTCCTGCTTTAAATAACCCGGATCTAGTTAGCTCGAGGGATCAACTTCAACAGTTCTACAGAGTTTTTCAATTCTTTATCATTCAACAAAGAATTTTTTTTCCTCTTCCTGAATCCTCTCTGTTGTCCATGATATTTTAGAATTTCACCTCATTTCCTGGTTTTGCGTAAAGTTTAATTAATGATTTTCTAATTTTATAATTTTTTGGCAACCAATTTGGGTGCAATTATTCTTTTATCCGCTGATTGAGACAAGTCAGTACCTCTTTCTGTAAACTCAATCTACAGATTCTAATTCGAAGTGCCTCCAGCACCGTTGAAATTGGATGCAGTTCCCTACCTTCACCTTCCAATCTTGGCTCAACTTTGAGAGTCAAATCTCTATACTCGAATTTCATGTTAGCAAGGTGGATTTTCTCGAAGGATTTTACTGAGAGATAGGGTACGAAATGAATATGCCATAAAAAGGCACCATATTCGACTAAAAATTTGAAGGAGACTATATCCACTTGCTTTGACTTTAAACCGCAGAATACGAGATATGGCGCATTACTGTTTTTTTTTTTTTCATAATAACGAATAAATTATAGAATAAACGTACTGAAATATTCTCCAATTATAATAATTTTAAAGAATGGACTCTTTCACTGTTTAAATACGTAATTTAAGCACAGGCACTTCAAAAGTGGAATAATTAGGGCTTCGCGAGACCACAAGACTAGTCTTCATCTTGGTAGCAAGACCAAGACCAAGACTTGACGTTCAATACCAAGACCAAGACTCTCTCTCGAGA